GGGTAGGCTGGTGGTCATGCTAGAGGGTGCATAACAAAATTTTAGGTCTGTCGGTTAATTGGGAAGGAAATTAGGGCAGCTTCTATCAGCAACACCCCTACACTGTTTAGTTAATCTAACCTCAGAAAACTATCACAATATTAAAGATTTTTATTCGCTAGATATGTAGCAGAATGCCTAGGAGGTGTGCCTATGGAAAGGTTTTTGTAAAAAGTAATTGATTTCTATCAATTTTCTCTTCTGCGAAATTTGTCAACTTTTTGGTCTTCTGTGTCTCCGACAAAATGTCAACATTTTTTATAAAAGACAGCCGTAAAGTGACAAACAAACCCCATAGGAGCATTCCTTATTAAATTTCAGTCACGAAAAGTGAAGAACGAGCCTTGCCTGTATTTCCATTCTCAAACGATAGATTGACTAAAATGGAATTTATACAAAAAAGTGGAACAGAGAAAGATGTGTTCAAAGTGCTCCAAACCCTACCTTTCCTTTAGCTTTGGTGGACAGAAAATAATTTATAACAAATTAACTATGCAGTTTAAACTAGTGAAAATTTCTGGGAATACTCTCTGGATGTAGATGGATGTAAATATGTAATTTTTCAAAATCAATGTTTTTTGAAGAATCTTTTTTTCTCCGAGTAGTGTCCCCCCTTAAGCCAGAAACGGGCGCCTAAGAGCTGCGCTCTAAAAGGAATGATGCCGAAACCTAGAAGCATCAACGCACAAAAGGTTCACTTTCACCAAGAATGATGAAGGGATTAATTGTTCCAAATGAAAATTCACTAGACCAATATAAAGGGACTTCTACAGAATTGAAAACAGAATGTACAGAGCTGAGAAGACTTTCACCCGACATGGGCAAGATTGAACAATGAGACCTCAGCGAAATGAAAGAGTGTCAACACTTTCTCCAGAATGCATTCTCAGATCTCGACCCTGCCAATAAACAACGTGCAAACGACAAAAAACTTCAAGCAGGAGTATGCAGATGTGATACGACAAGGTTACCATATTTAAATGTGTATACCTAGTCTGACAAACACGGCATTACTATGAATTGGACGAAAATTAATGTTGTGAACTCCCCCTGCGGCATGCAAAAGTCAATACCGGAGGCAGAAAAGAAAAGAAAAAAATATCACATGCAGGTGGGTTAAGAACCCGATCGGTCACTCAGTAAGCAGTTTTGGATCATCAAACAAACTCGAGCTGCATGTTCGGGAGCAAGAACCTGCCAAGACTGAACAAAGCAGATACAATTCCTGGACTGCTGAAAGCAAGTCATCAAGCAACAACCAAATAGGGGCTTGTGACATAGAGTGGGAAAAACCTCTCTAGGAGGAAACCCTCCTGCCAAGCAGATGCAAACTGAGACGCAGTCTGAAACATAGTCCAACATGCAAATTCCTTTGCTCTGCAAGAATCATGGTCCACTAACACCCTCAAATTTGCCCTCAATACAAAAAAGCCACATCAGAAGAAATAAAGCAGAACTAACAAGGGCAAAAAAGTGAGACGACTGCAATGCGGAAAAAGGATTAATTGAACTCTACGAGCGTGGTGATAATATGACGTCTTCCCAAATCTCCCAAGAAAAACACAAAATCTACAAGGCAAAGAAAGATATGCCTAAAACAAAGTGAATGTGAAACGAAGAATGAATCAATGACTCCCGAAAACAGAGCAAAACAAGCAAAGGAGACAAAAAGTATTACTTGCAAGCTGGAGCCCCAACAAGTACAACAAACACAGAACACAGTTGCAGTTTCATAAACATAGCAGCAAGATCTTGGAAGCAAATGAAGTGGAAGGATCAAACAGGATCCGCATTAAGACGAACGATGAACCGTCAACGATGAAGTACCCCCCCCCAGTGGCAACTGACGAAACACAGCTCGACTCCTCGCAGAATTACGTCTTCATTATAAGGTCTTCACCTTTTGCATACACTGGAGGGGGGGGCCTGCCAAATCTTCAACAGAAAAAGCGAAGAAGACGTCAGAAACGGGAATGCATGCGGCGTGTTTCGTTATCATTTTCATCACAAACCAGTCAGTCGGCATTAAACCATCAGCAGGAAGGGTCCGTTTACATTGCTTCTCCATGCCATGGTCGAAAACCCTGCAGAATTATTTAGCACACTTTTTTATGGGAAGATTGTTGTGACCTTAGAAAATTTAAAAACATTTAAGATATGAAACGCCCCACCATAAGGCATCAGCTTCAGGAAGCTGACAGATTCATCCTATCCTTTAATGCTTTACCATCTATGCACAACAAGCATACAAACAAAAAATTACAGGGAGACGCTTAAGCTTCGCCTTTAAGAGTGGAAAGAGATAGCTAAATAAAAACCGCCGCTCGTTGCCGAGTCGCGCAAGCGTGTCTGCGTGGCCTAGTCGGTAGCATGTCTGGCTTGTAACCGAAAGGTCATGGGTTCAACCCCACTCCATCTAGAATTCTTCTAATTTTTTTTTTTTTTTAAGGCAAATGAATTACTTATCAACCAATCAGGATTTTTCGGTCCCACCACACTGACGCCAATTTTTCTGCGGGAAGCCAACTTTTCTGTGACACAAACTCTTTAAAACTATCGCTTAAAAAAAAAAAAAAAAAAAAGACGGACAACTTTAATAAAAAAAAGTGAAGGAATATAGTGGCAACAGTCAGAGAACAGTAAAACTTTGTTGCAAAATGCACCATATATCACCAAGTGGGTCAAAGGGATCGATGGTTGTTTGAAGGGTTCTTCACAAATCGAACTAGGATTTACTACAGAGATGCCTCAAGTTGGTGGAAGCTTTTGCTAAAATTTTGGAAACCTGAGTAAATCGAGAAAAATCAAAAACTATGTTTTCCCTATTGGCGACACCAGCGAAATCGACGCCGCGTGGCGGCAACGCCAAGAAGCCCAGAAGAGGAGGTCGTTTCGACTCTGTCAACTGCTATCGCTGCTTGGTTCTCATAGGCAGCATAGCAACAAACATTTTTTGCAGTAATTATTTTTATACTTTCGCCATGTCATTCCTATGCACTGACTAGAAGAAGGTTTCTATCGTCTAAAAATCGGTTTGCTTTCATATGCAACACCGATTTTATGCTGCAGTGCAAGAAATTTATGGTGGTCCGCATGCTGAACAACGAAAACAACTTCCTTTCATCCGCCATTTTGCCTGACCAGCGTGCCCCCTATAGTTTGCTGGAGTCGTAAATACTTTGCATGCACACTCAAAAAATATTTTGTGTTACTGTGTAACTTATTTGGGCCAAATAAAGTGAAGAATAGGTAAGCAAACTCTTTCCATTTCATAAAATTTTTCAAATCGTTAAGTGCCAAAAGAGCCCACAGCGATTTTATAGACAAACCCAGTTCTTATTTTCTTTCTTTTGACTCAAGAGGTTTCATGCATTTATACACTCAATTAATGAATGCACCAGCTTCGAGAACCTTTGTAGTAAATGCCGGCGTGATAAGTTAAGAAACCAATTTATGCGGTCCCTTCAAACTGCCATTGATCCATTTGACCCACACGGTATGTCCCATTTGAGTGTTGTGCGGCAAGAGTAAATTGACAGTTAAGAATTGCAATACTCTGCCAAAACTTTTCTCAGTTTCACTTTCCGACATTAAACTTCACTTTAGGATTTCTATCATTCAACAAGTTACTGACAAACCTCATTTAAGTTGTTCTAGGATTTGAAGTGGTGAACAGAAATATAAGCTACCTAATTTTGTTATAACTTGCTCTTTAATTACAAAGAAATTCAGATCTTGTAAAATGTCCCTGTCTGACTACTTTTTTCAGTGGGAGATAGAATAGCTAAATTCAATACTGCATCTTCAGCCAAATATATTATAGTTCACTAATCTATCCCAACCTCTTACAGCTGGTTGTGGTAAAAAAAATTTTGGAATTGTTATCATTTTAATTGATAGATTTGCACAGTGTTGCAACTCCTTGTTGGAATACTATATTACCGTGAAGCTTTCAAAAGTCCCCTATAGTGCGGAGAGTGTCACGGCATACCCTCTAACCCTGGAATTACAAATTTTAATTCCATATGAGTGAACTACAGTTCAAAGTTGAGCTCGTCAAGGTCTTCCTCTCCATTGAAATACCCCATGAAGTAGTGATTGCACAGAAGCATTGTGGTACAACACCCATTCAAACATGTAGGGGTAGGAATTCAACTCGCAAGCTAGAGCCTGCAACATGAACTTTGAAGAAGAGCCTGCAAACTGGTCCTCAACCCTCGGCCGCCGACCCCCTTCTTTTCCCCGAAATGATGGCCGCTTTACGAGGCAGTTTGTTGGAAGAGGTGGAAGAAACGACCTTTAACATGCCACCTATGTCGGACAGTATCCAAACTTCGCTGCATGCTTAATGTCACAAAATTATGTGTTCAGCAAACCTTGCCACGATGCTAGGTCCTTGAATAAAGATTTGCAAAATGAAAGAGTGTGATCAAGAATTGAGACGCCTTTAGGCTACCTGGCAAAAGAGGCACTCGGGTGAACATTTAGGTTCCAAGAGGAAGAAGAAACTGTTTTGGCAGATCCCCAAAAAGATAAATGCAGCAGAGTACTTTGAAAACATGAATTTAGGTTCGACAGCTTCACAAAAACAGATGCTTCTAGCGGCGTTCCCAGTCGACAAAGGAGATGCTGCTGTCCAGGAAGAGTCGGGTGCGTGCTTTGCCCGACATTACGAGGCGGTGCACGTGCAAGCGCAGTGTTCTTGATTTAGCAAAATCCACTATACACAGTTGGCAACATTGGTGTATCGAAAATGGCGGACTAAAGAAACGTCCATACCCATGCTGCAATCCTCAATTTAAGTAATCCCTAAAATCCCCAACACCACACGCACGTGCAATAAAACAGCACTTTTACCTCATCTAAGAGTCAGTTGAAACCATCTTTTCGTCCATCACGAAAGAACGCTGAATGCGCATCCAGCCCCAAACTGTCGACAGACCACAAAACAGGGGACTCACCGATCTTGTCCTTGCCCACTTGACAGCAGGTACCATTGCTCTCATGGCTGTTCATCATCTCCAGGAGCTTCACTTCAATTTGAGCTTGGTTCAGGAAGGGTTTCTTGTTTTTTATGATTTTGATGGCCACAAAGCACTGCTCTTCCCTGTCGTATGCCTTCACCACCTGCAAGAGTTGTGAGCAAAGGAACCACTTGTAAGTTGTACCCTATATGGTTTCAAGCAGCCTGAAAGTTCATGCAGCAGACACGGTTGAAAATTTATCGGCAAGAACACTCTCATCCTTCCAATGCTGTTAGAAGTCACGCTTGGTGCACTCCCAACATAGGTACAGAGGAGAGGTCTTAAAAAAAAGCTGGCACCCCAAAAAAAAAAAATTTTTAATTTTTTTGTTAGGCAATTTATTATGGTGTCAGAAGTCTACCCAATCATTATTTGGACACAGCGTCACATATATTTTTAATAAAGCCAAGAAACGCAACTGCTTGAAACTGAAACTGAACTGGGGAGGAAGAAGAAATGAAGAAATATAGAGGAGGAAAGAGTTGCCAAAAGTCACGTGGCTGAGCAGCTTTTTTTCGTTTTCAATCAACGTATTTGCAGTTTTTTAGAGGCCACAAAAAATAAGTATTTTTTTCTTAAATATTGAGTTTATGCTTTTGATGACCCATGACTGATTATATTCGATGGTTGTGTCTGAACCATAAAAAATGGCACGTGACAACGGAGAAGACAGTGAGCACGACTCAAATTGGCCAGTTCTTGATCTGCAGTTTTCGGGCAGAAAGAAAACGAATTTCGAGGCGCATATTGTGTTCTGGGTAGTTGGGCTCTCATATGTCATGTACATGTAAAAACTTTAACGAGCATAAATACCCCGTCAGTTTCTCTTTAACTCGGCTGCTGCTGTGTCACCCGTGATGCGATTGGCCTAAGCCGTTTTGGAGCAACTTTGGGAGCAGCCAAAACAGTGTTTTGGAGCAGCGAAAGTGGTCTTTGGAGCAGCCAAAACAGTGTATTGGAGCAGCGAAAGTGGTCTTTGGAGCAGCCAAAACAGTGTTTTGGAGCAGCGAAAGTGGTCTTTGGAGCAGCCAAAACAGTGTTTCGGAGCAGCGAGAAGTGGCTTTTGGATCAGATATTCTTAGAAAAATAAAAATATTTGTTTTAAGTGCTGGACAAATGAAGGGTACCTTGCTCGCTGCAATAAACAAATTATGGTCAAGTTAGACCCCCTCGAAGCTTTCAAGATGTTAACTGAAATGACATTGACATAAAACATTTTGCAATGCTTCAGTTAAATAATACATATATAAACCCACTATAGATAAATAAGAACCAAACTGCACATATAAAAATTTTTTTGAAAATGACCAGCTTAGTAGTAAATATCAAAGCATAAAGTTGACTAGTTATATAATATAATAAATTGAAGCAGTTTCCGACTGATGAAACACGTAAATACTGCAGTGCGATGCGAAACTGCACACAAGAAAATGTGCAGTGTGAATGTCGGGTGCTTTCCCTTTTACTTTTCGAAACTTTCTGCAAGGCTGCTGCAAGCCTCACCTTGCCTTCGGCAACTAATGAATATCCACTTTCAATGTCTCCAAAGAGACACTGAGACATCCCACAAGTGTACAGTGCTGTAGGCGCTGCCGAGCAATTCCAAAAAACCGCTTGCTACCGTTTTACTGGTTCCCGACCCGCCAGATTTTCGTCAAAGCAAGCAAACGTAAAGCAATGGATTGTAAGCGCCCCGGCTGGTGCCTCTGTCGTGCACTCATGTTCGCATGCATGTGACGGCAACTTCGGCAGCTTGCAGTTGCACGCGCTTTGTCGTGTGAGCGGAGACGGCTGTACGATCGAAACCGAAACCATGCCACTCCACTCCGTCGCCAACTGGTTCCCAAAATTGCCTGCAAAATTTAATGTTCTAGCATACGACAAAAAAACAGTCCAGCGGCGCGTGCCTGCCAGGCCGACAGGCGAGGTACACATTGCGACACTGTTAGCACGAACACGACATCGGCGCATTTTTGGATTTTACTTGTAAATAGTAGTAGCGAGCCCAAAATATTTTCGCTCACATTATAGAACCAAATGAGTTCTTTCCGTAGCAATAATAATTTGGATAACATCCCTTGGTTTCAGAGAAAAACTGGAAAAACCAGCGACTGCTTGTTCGTGCTAACAGTGTCGCGCTCTGTACAAGCTAAACACGCAGAAAAAAAGAACCTGTGTGCATCGATGCAAGACATTGCGAGTCAGGGTAAAAAGTTCTTGGAGCGCTTTTGTGCGACGACTGAACTCGAGACAAACAAGCACGCTGTGCAGGTTCAGCGTGCAGATATTGCCTTTTTTGCTTCAGCTCATTTCACTTCAACAACTATCTTTCGTGGCAGACTTTTCACGTACCGGGGTCCCTCTCAAAAGAAAGCCCACCGAGAGAAACCTAAGTAATCAATACTTTGACACAGCAGTCTTTGAGATAAAGAGAGATTTTTGCAGTAGCGTATGATTTAAATGAGAACAGGAATGTTGATGACCTTGCAGCGGTCCTTACATTTCAGTTTAGAAAGCGCCATATCTGCAGCAACGTGGGGAGAGCAACACCCGACGTCATGCAACCATGGTGACTGGTAGGCAGGGACCAAATATAGTTTTCCCACGGCCGTTGCTTTCAGGAGTGAGTGCTTCATCTCACAAAGTAACTCCCGCCGTGCAAAAACGTGGTTTCGTTTCACAACATGATGGCATGGCTGGTACCCGGCACGCTAGCATCGGAGCGTCCCCACACGCTTGCATCTATCGTTACAAAAATTTTAAAAAGACACGAGACGAGAGCCACGATGACCACGAGACGACGAGAGCGCGAAACAAGAGACGGCGGGAAAAACCGTGCAAGACGGATGGACGATTGATGCAGGGTATTTCTTGTTGGGCGGCCGCTTGCTCTACCTAGCTCACGCATGCTCAATTACGGTACCCAGTTTAGTTTCGGTCTTGAAAGGCGACCGAAACCGGTTCTTTGGCACAGGCTTGGCACAAATTACCCATACTTCGGCAAAATGTAGCAGGATGTATCAGGGTTAGCCCCTTGGCGCTCCCTTGTTTGGCGCAACCATCACATCACTGTGTCACTAATGGCTCAAGCAAATAATGAACTATTGTCAAGGAGCCAAGAGCTCACATCTGACAGACATTGCCCGGCACTACCAGGTCTACCGCTGAGTCCTGCTTTTCTTGAGCTACCCTTGTCACATTTAGTTGGTTGTTGCCCGAGACACATCCAATTAGCATGGCCAGTGCAACATTGGTGCATTCGAGTTTTCAATTGTTTCCACACAAGAACTACATAGATTTCACATTGCCTGTGTTTCATTTGAGGTGCTTAGATTCACATAAATCATAGTCACCAAGGCACAATTGCAAACAAGGCAATGACACTATGTAACAGCCACTTCCATAAATCCAGAGGGAAAAAGTTCTACCAGAGGTCTCAGACTGTACACCTTTTGCAAAAGTATAGGAAGCTATAGACCATTCCAGGAAAGGGTCATGATCTTGTAAACATTGGGACGGTGTACATAGTTTCAAATATAATCTGCAGAATTCCAGGACATTACATTTGCTGAATTGCATGAAAGTGGAAAGATATCTAACTTAAGCCATCTGAAACTTTATATGGCTATGGGCCTCATAAAACTATCCTTGAGCAGTGAAGTTAATCTTAGGACATATACAATTCCAATGATGTCTGAAATTCAGTCAACCTCATTTCATTAGGGCCCTGGCATCTTTTCACTTGTGACTCCGGAAACCATCTATTAGAAGGAATTGACTGTACTAACTGCCCAAAATCGTGATTCACAGGTCAGCAATCAGTACGTACAGCTTGTGATAAGAATGAAAATGACAGAAGGCGTGGTTTAGCTCCTCAATTTGTTCTTCAGGCCTGCTGAATTCAACTCTATGTATACAGCTGTGTCTGCACTAGGGAAGTTTACTTGAAGCCAGCTCAGCATCAAGAAACTCCATTCCATGCTTGTCTTGAACTTCCATAGTGGCAATAGTTGCGCTTACGATGCCCATCAAGTGACGTTAGGCTCTAAAAAAACTTGATTATTATGGTAGGGGCAGTTCCACCCACCTGTCCAAAGGAGCCCTTGCCGATGAGAGAGTCAATCTCGTAGCGGTCAAGGAACCGCTCGCCGTTGCGGATGATGTAATCATGGTTGTCGTCGTCAAAGCCTTCGTTGTACAGCTTGCGCTCTTTCTTGTGGCTCTGATCCTCGCCTTGGGGCTGCTGCGCACGCCGCTTCTTCTTGGCATAGTACACCTAAAAACCACAAAATCAGAACAAAACAGGGATGAGTAAGTTTTCACAGCCCACCCCTGAGCAACACAGGTTAATAGAAATTATAAGTGTGGAAAACAAAACAAAAAACTGAAGGTTCAGTTACAAATGAGGTGAATGAATATGCTGTGCAAGAGTGCTAAGGAAGCACACCATACAACCATGTTTGTAGCACCTTTTGCATTAAAGACCACTCCAGCTGTTGCCAAATAGCCACACATGACACATCACCTCCATGCTTGTTCCCAAGCAAACATTGGTCACACTGACAAGGGTATGGTACACTTACAAATTTGGCTTATAAGCAGCAATCTTTACTTTGAGGTAAAATAAAATACACTACAAAAAAAAAATAATGGGCAAAAGGAAGCATAATCCCTGCTTCAAGTTAAAAAAAGATACATAAAATGTACTTTTAAGTTTAACATCTGAAACTCAAGACCGAGGTACAAACGAGGAACTATAAAAAAAGCATGTGTTGTGTGTCCACATTTGTACATTTAACTCTGGTTCACAATGGTTGAACATACATCAGCTTCATTGCATGCTCCTCCTTGCTTTATGGAACTACTACTTAACAGTGAATAGCTGTAATTATGGGTAGCATTTGCAAAATAGCAGTAGGCAGCAAACTATGAAGTCCCAAAAGTAGAAATAAGCCACATCAACACAGCACAAGAAAGCAATGAGAGCTATAAGTATAATCTAAAAAAGCAGGAGGAAAAAAAAAAAATCACCTCCATGCTTTATGAATAGCCAAGAAAGTTCACAAAGATTAAAGATTTTGACCTAGGAAAAACTTTGCTGCTGTGGTACCTTATAGTATTAAATGGCTGGACTGCCTGGTAGAGTATCTTTAGTGACAGGAGTAAAAAGGGTTATAGTATTGAAAGCAGGGGTAGCATGCAGGTGAGTGAACCAGGAAATATAAAAAAAAAAAAAAAATGAAAAGAAAAAAAATTTTGTTTGGTTGGGACGCGCGTGCCAATAAATTAATTTTAGGTGAAAAAAAAAATTCTTTACAGCAATATTGATGGCGCGAGATTTATTTTAAATTTTGCGCGGAAAGTCCATGACATCACGGAATGGTCATACACTCTCTCTACCTCAATGCGATGGCCAAGCCGATCAACCTCTCCTCCATTCGCCCGAAATGCCGAGAGAGAAAATAACAGGAAAGGAGGCGACTATTGACTAAATCACGCCTTGTGCCGTCAATACTGCTCTAAAAAAAAAAAAAAAAAAAATTCTGTGTAAAATAAATTTTTTGACATGCATGTCCCAACCAGATTGTTTAAAAAAATTTTTTTTCTTTCTTATCACGGGGAGACACAAACAAATCCAGGAATGGGGATGGACAACCACAAATCCCAATAGACATCTCCGGAAAATCTCGGGAGGTGTCGCGGCAAGGGTAACATGGAACTGTTCAGATTTATGCTTGTGCTGACTCGAATGCTTCATATATCCTGGTTCCGGCACGATTCATTCTTTCTCAGAATGCACGTCACATACTCTATTTTTCTTTTCTTCTGTATTCTCTGAGTTATGAAATTTAAAATTGTTAAACCAACGTCAACTTTGCCCACGATTCCCGGGTAATCTCACATGCCGTACATCGGATCGCAATGCTTCAAGCAGACAATGGGGGTGCCATATGTCTCTGGAAATGTCTATTATTGGACATCACCCAATAGATATGCAAAACTGCTTGGTGGTCTGGTAGCACTGTGCGTGCAGCCATCTTGGTAACATCAAGTCTTTTTAGTTTCGGTTGAGGGCAGAGATCCTCTGCCAGTAGTTGAGACGCAGCAACTGCGTGATTTTCTGACTTCCAATCACCCAACGTGGACAAAGGACTAGGCTTCTGATTCTGAAGACACTTTCAACCATCTTTCGATGTGAAGGCGCAAGAAGTCATACTGTTTAGCACTGGTGGGCATATTGCGATGGTGGGCATATCGTCCACTATCTTAGCTCGATGCCAATACATGCAACTCAATGTTAGTTTAATTTTTTTTTTTTTTTTTTTTTACTTTGTGTTTTTGGTGGAAGCTTAAATCGGACTAAAACTCTGAGTTCCTGTAAAACAAACAATGCTTCCAATATGTTTTTTTTTTTTTTTTATGCATTGCAAAGAGTTTAGATTGGTTTGACATAACATCGACCTTGAGCACAGATTACAGATGCCGCACCTGTAAACAAGGATTTGTCCAACCCTGGCAGAGTGATTGCATTGCATTATCAAGTTTGCAAAACACGACTGTCCCAAAACTACGCCCAAAGCTTCTTCATACTACTAAATAAAATTTTATATCTCGCCTATGACCAAAAAATAAAGAAAAAGGACACTCGGGAATTGAAGTTGTCCGGTGTGTCCGCAGCATAATTTTTTGCTGTCGCTGACACTGAAGTTTTAGTTACTGCGATAGACCCAAGCAGGTGTATTTGATTGAATGTGGCGTTCGATAAAACTGACAGAAAAATCCCATCTCTGTGAGACAGTTGAGAGCAGACAGACATGTCGCCTGTGTCGGTTGTGTTTTTTATTCTGCACACCTGCATGCTAAGTCTTTAAGGATATTTTATCAACCAACTCTCCTCATTAGCTTTAGAGGTGATGTTTACAAACCTCATTTACTGGCATCAGATCAAGTGTATATGAATCGCTGATACGCAATGAAATTGTTTTCTGGCTGTCCTAATTATATTTTTTTTTTAATACATGATATTCAAAAGAAGGACACAGGTGTTTTCAGCTTTTGTTGTTCACTGTTAACCATACGAGTCTTGAATTGTGGGTGGTGGCATAATTTGTAAAGCTGTACCATATTTTTGTTTTGCCTTCGCTGGCTTGGTCTTGTTCACATACATAGGTGCTTTCGCATCAAGAAAAAAGCAGGCTGACACTGAATTGTACACATGAGAATAAATACAACTTCAGAGACAAATCCAGTAAACTATGCAAAAAGATTAGGGCCTACTTCAATGGTTGTAAATAGGTTCGCGCTGTGCGAGAACGTCCGTATGTTTCTTCACACTGTCGCTGGTTTTTATTGTCAAAAGCTGCGTGTAAGAGTAACAAATAAAAACAGAAGTGAACCCTGTTCACGTATGTACCTTGTTCCCGCAGGAATCTAATGCTCCTCGCTGCATACAAGGCAGAACGCAGCAATGCGCTAATACCGCACCTCATACGAAGCATGGCCGCTTGTTTACAAGGGTTCCAAGTCTGTACGGTCACTGGTTTCGTTTTCTCACCGTTACCAAGATGGCGGACGTAGTTCTCGGCAAGCTACTAGATAGCACTGTACATTTCGCATATCGTCTATTGCATCCTGAAATATTCCACTGTAGGCTCTACAAAGAAGGTGTCCACTGGAACTTTCATCAGACCACTAAGGTATAAAAACAAACGCTCACGAGAAGGTCCCGGCATGTCAAAAGAGCTCATAGCAACATTCTAATTCTAATCAATTTTGTGAGGCATAACAGGCGAAGGCCATTGACCAGGTCACGTCAAAATGAGGTGTGGCTGCTGCCCTGCAAGACTGGAGGGGCACAAAGCAGCAGAGTAACCCCAAAGTTCCAGTGTGCAACACACAGCCTCAAGGTGGTGCAATTACGAGTGAATAGAACTAGCTACAAAGGGCATTCAAGTTCCAAGGTCTCTCATTTTGTTTATAAAAAAAGTGCTTGCAACTGAAGCAGAAACTTCTCTGAACAGTTCACCCTGTGGTTTTCTATATTCTTCGCAATGCGGACACCGTGACTGCAAGGCCGCGGAGACTTCTTTGAGGGTCTCTTCAGACCACTGGGACATCGTTGACACAACGGCAGAGCACTCTGAAGTAACTAGACCACAGTAAGTGTCCTTCATGGTAAAAAAAAAAAACCAAGAATCTCTGGGTGCAAGGTAGTAGGGAGCGCAAGAAACCAGCTCCATAAGCTTTCTTTTTTTTTTTTCTTTTTTTTTTTTTTTATTAAGAAAATTTTGATGTGTTGCCCGATGAGCTTGAGCGCTGTCGTGCTGAAAGACCATGGCTGCATCATTCTTTCTTCATTGCGCGAAGAAAACTTTTTTTTCATAATGTCTCCGGATGTTGAAGATGCACCGTCGTGCCCTTTGGGATGCAGTGAGTGGGGATGACGCTTTCACTGTCCAGAAAGTGGCCACCATCGTCTTTCCTGATCCTAACATAAAACATTTCCAGTGGTGGGGAGCCACAGTGCTTCCACTGCTGCAACTGGCATTTGGTGAACTTCTGCACCCATGAATGCATGTGTTTCGCACCCATGACATCCGTGCAAGTTTCACTGGGCTGACGATCAATGTTGGAGGGTGTCATCCCCATGCAGGTGCACAAAACTAATAACATATTAGCCTCTCAAAATGAATATCACTATTTTCAGTGTCTCAAGCATGGGTGGGACCAGGTGATGCCACAAGTGTGTGATGAAACCTACCTACGTTGCTGCATCTCTCAATCATTCTCAATAAACTACCGCACGTTTTAAGATGCCCTTCATGTTGTAACCTGCTAACATTCCAGAAAAAACTTTCAGCCTTTCCACTCTGGTGAAGAAGGAAGACCAGTAGAGCTGTACAATGGAAAGTAATGGCCGGCCGCAAGTCGGCAAGCCAGAGTGGAAAGGCTGCCGCCATCTATGAGCGACAGCGGCAACCAGAAACGTGGCTTGCCGCCGTCACTCACAGATGGCGGTAGGTGTCCACAGTTTGGTGTCTTCATTTCTTTGCGGGGGACACGATCCTGGGGAAACTAGCCCTTAACAACTCCGCTGTAAAAAAGTTAGAAAACCTATGAGAGTGGAAAGCGTGCCGACACCCCCTTCAGACCTTGACATTGCATTCCCCTAAAGGAACCCCTCATTCTGTTTCACCATATAAGTAAGCAGAAAAGAAGCTATGGGACACAGAGCAAACTGTTCAGCAGGCCACGGGCGTGAAAGAGGTTTACGAGACAACACGCTTGTGTTTGTACCACCGACTTCGCTCAGACTATGCCTTCTGCAGCCGCAAGACTAGCTACAAACCCTCCAAACAGGAATGCACAAAGTCCCCTGCCCACCTCGTTGATGTGCTTGTAGGTCTTGATGAGGTCTACGCTGAGCTTGCGCAGGGGTGCTTGCCCAGAGTCTCTGAACTTGTAGGGGAGGAGTGGATGCTGGTGCTGAGGGTCCGTCGCCATGGCTGCCAGCTGGTCCTGCGTCACCAGGCGTCCGTACGTGGCCACCCCCTTGGTGCCCACCCCCGGCTGCGGCGGCTGCGCCAGGGGCGGCTGTTGCGGCTGCTGTTCTCCTGTGGTGTACAGAGGAGGGGGGAGAAAGGCAGGATGAGCGGCCCGTCCGCAATACCTTAAAAGTGACAGAAAACCATGTACACACAAAATGTACGAGACAGAAATCGGCCTGCACACCTTTGATCAAAGTCTAATGCAGTCTAGAGAATGGCACAGTCCCTGTGGGTCTCGCCGCAGTAGCAGCAACGAATGTTAAAGCACCATAGGTTCCTGTTTCCTTACCCTTCCTTTCTTTTGTGTTGATAACTTCTAAATTGGCTACCGACCTTTTAATAATATAAGTTCACATGTAGGATATTGCCACAGATCGCCCTCAAAGAAGTATGGAGGTGCGAGAAAGAATTTGTCGAGGCAGAAGCCGTGCATGGGCACCACCATAACCAACCTTCAGTTTTTGTTTCCTCCTTATTCCGTTTACCTCAGTTCATCGTTACCATAGCAGGGCAGATTATTGCCATCTTAGATTCTACTGTTTCCTTCTCCCCAGCATTGGTCTTAATGAAGGATCATCAAAGCCCGTTTCAATGGCGCGGTATCTCGGTAAAACCGGAGGTCAGCAATGGCGGCTGTAATCTGGCGCATGTGTAGAGCATCTATGGCCACCAACGAAATCAAAACAGCAGGCCGGCATCTTTTGTGGACGCCCGGCCTCCTGTATGAGCTCGTTGCCTTCTGACGTGCTTTGGCTGCACGTGCCAACCGAACCTCGAGAGACCCCAAAGTGTTGTAGAAAGCGGAAAGTTTATACTGGAGGCAGGACGACTGAAAGAACTCCCACTCCCTACTATTCTCTCCTGTCGGTGACCACGGCCGACAATATACACTCAGATGTGGTGCACAAATGTGGATAGGGAGTCTTGGCATCTGACCCTACACATAAGGATCTCATATCTAAGAAGGCGGATTCCCATTCAGGCTCAGTATGAATGCATAAAAATTGCACTCCAGAAAACTCTTATTGTTACTCACAGGCAGTTCATATGCCTTTATCTGTTCATGACCACGAAATCAATTTTAGAAATATACATGGTACACTATGTGGACAGGGTAGGTATTTTCTAGCGTTGGTTCGAGGTGAAAATTAGTAAACACATTTCTCTGTTTACAAAATACTCTTAGGAACAGTGATGTAGGACAGGGGCTTGCGAAATCCAGCCGACCCCATAGTACATACACACAGGCATATTTGACCCCCTTCAACCCCTCAGTGCCACAAGTCATGGACAACCCAGCCACCTCAGTGCGCTCAGTGTGCCCCCTTCCCCCCCCTTCCTCCCCCCCCCTCCCCACCCTAAAAGAAAAAGATTTCTGGCTACAGCACTCCTTAAAGGGAAGCTACGGAGCTTCTTGAAAAAAATGAGTTAGAAGTGAACTCTAGTGTATTTTCACCTCGTGAACCCGAATACCAAAACCATTTGCCGCGCAAGTATTGTTAAACGCGAGAAAAACGCTAAAGACAGTCGCTGTCCGTGACGTCATCGACGGATCTTTTGGCTTGCCAAGGCTAGGGAGGCGGGGCTTCAGCCCTATTTTCAAATTGCTCTTATGGCTCTCCGGCGCGTCGCATTGAAATATAATTTTGATATCTGTTATTCTAAAGGCCAAATGAACGCAATTCAAGCGTTTTTTCTCAAATGTAGAAGTGCCCCATCTTCCCTTTAAGAACCAATTTATTTTCACTGCTGGCAAGTAAATGTTCACTAGTGCTGAACATGGTTAACCCCTTGCCTACTAATAACGAGTGTCACTCGTGCCGCCATTTACGGACCATAAAACCCGACCACGAGTGTGACTCGTGTTTCGGTTTCAGAGCTTGTTTTGTGAGCTCTGCGGCAGATGGCAGCACTACCCCTGTTGCTCCTGTTTACCTTGGGTGTTCTTTTCTTCTTTGCTTTGCCTTTTGACAGAGAGAGGGCGCACCATTGACAAAAAATAAGCGCGCCATTGTAAGCAAGCGCGCCAAAAACATGTCTTCGGCGCGGAGGTCTGCTTTGGCGGACGAAGATATACAAAGACTTCTTTTTGAAAGTGATGAATGCACCAGTATTTCTGACGACGAATCCTGCTGCCTTTCCGATTACTCGGAATCTGATGAGAGTTCAACGGACAGTGAGAAAAGTGTTGAAAACGATGCGAATCCTGGAAGCATTTCATCGACTTCGGCGTCTGCACGTCAGTGGAACTGGGAGAAGAGGGACAACCAGCCTGCTCAGTTCACCTTTGTAGAAACCCCAGGTGTGTCAGCAAGGGTTCAACGCAGTCTTGGTGAGAAGACAAGCGCCTTGTTGACCTTTTCCGTGTTTGCAAGTCATGATTTTTGGGCGTCTGTCTCTGCTGAGACAAATCGCTACGCCGAACAAGAGATGGGCGACGAGGATCGTTCCAAGACATGCTATGAGGAGCAATGGTTTGACACCACTCCAGATGAGATAAAGGCATACTTTGCCTTGTGCATCATTATGACGCAAGTGAAAAAACACACAGCCAAAATGAACTGGTCCAAGAGGTCCATAGTAAAGACCCCAATTTTCGGCAAAACGATGTCCTGTGTGAGGTTTCTGCTAATCTCTCGATTTCTATCATACTGTGAAGAACTACTGAAGAAGAGGAGACGACCAGAAGTCCTGGTATAGAGCACGAGACTTCGCCTGAAAGCCAAGGAAACGTTTTTCTTCATTTTGATGCAAATTGCTTGATTTAAATAAAGATTTTTGTACGATCTTTAAAGAAAAAAAATGAGTAGGCAAGGGGTTAAGGGTAGTAAGTTGGGCGAGTTGGTAAACGTTGAACATGGTTAAAATCACGCACACTAGTGCTTTCCAATAAAAGCCAAGACTGGCAAGGCAGCACAAAGGAGCCTCAATGCGAAAATCTGAAGGGGATCAGTGGTCGAGTGTTTGCGCACCGCAGCTTGGAGGCACGTGGAGCAAAAGCTTGCGCTGTAACACCCAGGGATCCTGGCTGCCTGTTTCGATCTGGATGGGTATTGTAGCGGCGTGCAGTCATGTATTACTACTGTGTGGTTTGTTTTAAAGCAACCACAAAATGATTTCTCTCACTCAACTCAGAAGCGAAATGAGAAATCATGCGGTCGTGATTTGCCAGGGAACTGGAGGCGATGACTCCAAGCTTCTACCTTGCTTTTTAAGTACACCATGGAACTTGTCATTCGCAAGGGATGATAAGTGCCTCCATGACAGTCATTAGTCACGAATGCAGATCCAAAGGTTTGTCGACGAAATGATCGTTGGTGAGTGCATACGTCCGAGCGACACAGTGCTTGTGTCCTATACGTGAGCTGGGTCGGCTGACGTGCTTGAGCACCCCGTACGCATCAAAGTGAAAAGGCAGAGAACTTTTGAAGGAAAGAAGGTAAGAAATAGTTTGCTATATTTTCAGGTTTTTGTAATGGAAAGCAGGCTTTTGGCTTTCTACCCTCACGTACTAGTGTTTGTTTGGCCCACTAGACGATAAAACGACATGTGATTTAGTAGAATCTGAATCTAATATAATTTATCCCAGCCCAAAATTCATTTCATGATCCCTTTAAATACCTCAGACTAGCAGTCATACTGCACTGACTAAATTTCTCATCTACGGCGTAAACCAGTGCCGCCGTACCTCAAAGGCAGACCGGCCCTCTGCCGTTTGAACATGCACGTAAAATTTGCTTTTCTTCTTTTTGGCTATGCCAAGTACTGTAGATGTTTGCAACAGTTTGTCTAATTTAGCAACATTGCCTCATTTTTTTGGCTTTTATAGTAGTGCTAGTATAACTGGCAATAGACCACGCGCACCAGTTAGTTTAGCTATCCTACCGCTGCCACAATGTATTGAGGTAACTTTAGCCTTTCTGCACATGAGACATCCTCGCTTAAGCTCCCCGCATGCACAGCACTAGACGACCCAAACCGCCTCGTGTACTGCCGCCTGCCTCCTGTAGACTGAAGTTGTGGTGGCGTGACGCCTGCGCCAAACGCTTCGCAAGATCAGGCTATTATTCGTGAATACCCTTTACTGAGTCACATGCGCCGCGACAAGAAAGAGAAATCATGTCAAGCAAACACAGGCCCATAACCATCTTCATAACTCGGTGTCTCTCCCTTCGTGTAAGGGCCTCCTCCCACTCGGGAAACAAACGATTAATGCTGCTTGCAGGCATGTTGCATATTTGTCATCAACCCTTTTTACCCTAGTCTGCATAAAATGTAGCCGCTTCCTCCAAGGAAGGCAGCTCTTCCTTCTGGGTGTTTCCGCGTCAGATTGTGCAATGATGGTCTGGGTCATATTTCTTTATATTTATGTAAAAAGTCAAAGCCATGTTCTTCGTAGGAGCATTCAACTACAGTGGAATCTTGTTAATTTGAGCCTGACGGGCATCAAAACTTTGTTTGAATAATGCAAAGTTTGAATTACCGGGAGTTTCCTCCCTAGAAACACATAGGACGGGGGACCTGCACGTTAGTTGGAATTATCCACGAATTTGAATTAATGAGATTCCACTGTACCTACATGCAAATGCCATAGCCAATTTTCTTCCGGAGATATAAAATTTCAAAGCTCAAGGTGTGGAGATTGCCAATTCGCTATGGCACTTTGCACAGCCGTCTATTTCACATGCATGTAGCAATAACTTTTTCTACTTATTTTATGAAAGGTTGAAGACATGTACACAGAATAACTAAAATTAATATCCTCTAGTCCATTCAGGTTTTTTCAGGAACTGTCGGATCATGACAGAAAGATTTTTATGCAAAAAATATTATAAAATGAGTCAATAAACATGTTTCAGATACACCTTCACAAATCACTTACCAACAAAATACTTCATATAAAACAATGTAAAATATATAAAATGATCCTCTTTAAATGCATTTTATGAATATATCGGATAAATATGCTTAGCCATTATTGCAGTTTTGTTATTAATGAAGATACGCAGCTTATTTCTCTAAATGTGTGGCAAAATTCCATTTCAACCGTTCAAAAACTCCACTTT